CAGCCTGGGACGGGACAGAACACGGCACCAGCCACGCACGACTGCAGGTGGGTGCTAGACCGCGTGTCCAGGCCACTGCTTCCCCGTCACTTCCTCAGCCACCTCAATACTGAACTCCCGAACCCCAGGGCACTCAGCCCGGCATGTATCCCCGGGGTCTTCCCCAGCCTCAGGCGCTGTGTGGCCTCAGAAAAGCTTCTTTCCCTCTCTGTGTGTGCATGATGCTAACGCAGGTTGAGAAAATCGTCTTTATTGTTGTTCATGGAGAGGGCAAGGGAGGCCAGGAAAGGGGAAGCCACTCTGAGAATGCAGTGCTCCCCCAGTCCCCGACCCCCCTCACCCCGGGAAGGCAGGTTTGAGGGAGCTGTACCCGTTGTCCATCCTGAGGAAAATAGGGGTTCACCCAGTGGCCTCCAGGTGCCCCCTTCTGAGGGCCCTAGCCCCGAACCCTCCTCTCCCTCCCAAGAGTCCCTTGAACTTCAGGTGGGGTCCAGCCCTGACCCCAGGTAGTCCTGGGGTCAAGACCGCCAGATGAGCCTGGGTGGGCCCGAGACAGACTCCAAGTCCTTGCTCAGGCAGGTCAGGAGGGGGCCGGCCCCTGGGGCTGGCCAGGTGCTGAGGGCTGCAGCTGCCTTGGAGCTGAAGGCCTCTGGGATGGAAAATCCTGAGGGAAGGATGGGGTTGGGGGGGGGGGGAGATTCAGGACACCACTCAGTTCCTCCATCCTCCGGCGGGGGCGCTCCAGGCCCCCAGTTACCCAGGCCCTGCCTCCCACGCAGGACCTCTGAGGGGTCAAAGGCTCACACCAGGTGGAAGAGGGGATTTCCGCTCCTTCCGCCCCCACCCCAAGAGAGGTCGCCCCAGCTCCTCTTGAACTCGGGGCTGTTGAGGCTCCTCGGGCCTGTCTCGAGCAGTGGCTTCCGTGCCCACCTGTATCTGGCAAAGGTCCAGCAGGGTGCGGATGCGGGTCAGGCACCAGAGCTCTCCCAGCAGGGACGTGAGGACCCCCAGGACGTCCAGCCAGCTGCCCACGGTCAGAAGCAGCACGAAGAGACCACCCATGCGGACCAGCACCGTCTGGACGTGGCTCTGCAGGCCGGGGCTCTGCCGCTGCTCCTCTGTGGGGGCAGGGAGTCCCTGAGGTCCAGCTGGGATGGGGCCTGGGCTCCCAGCTGCCCCCCAACCTTCTGCGGTGCGAGCCTTCCCCTCCCCTCGCAGCCACCTCTCTCTCTCCCTCGCCCCCACTCTCTGAGCCCTTGCCGGGCACCAGGTACTGCTTCCTAACCGGCCTCACTGTCTACCCCCAAGCCTCCCCGAGGTCATGCTCTACCTTCAGCCGGGCGGGAGGGGGGGTGGGGGGGTGCACCCCAGCTCCAAGCTGCGGGCATCATCCTGACTCCACTCCTGCCCCTCAACAGTCGGTAAGTCCCGGGGACTCTTTCTGCTAAATAGATCCCTACCTGAGCCCCCCTCCCCCCTCCCACTGCCCCACCCAGCCGCTCTTGTTCTTGACCTTGTAGGTCAAGTGTCTACTCCATGTCTCCTCAGCAGCTAGTGACCTTCCAAACACATTGATGAGATGAAATCGTTCCTTTGCTTCCTCCCAGGACTTTTCGCTGCATTTGGCGTAAACTCCAAACTCCTCACCTTGCCTGTGACGTCCTGCCTGGTTGGAAGCGTGCCCTCATTTCATCTCTGACTCGCCCCCATTCCTTACTACTCCCCAGCAAGCCAAACTCGCTCCCACCTCAGGGCCTTTGCACCCGCCGCTCTCTGCCTGACTTCCCTTCCCTGTCCCGCCGCCTCTACCCCATCTCCATCCTGCAGCCAGGCGGTTCTCCCTAGAGCCCACATCCGACTGGGTCACTCTCTGCTGCTGAAGGCCATGCAATGGCTTCTCCTCAGACTGCCTACACTGGGCTGATGAGGGCTCTCCATCAGGCCCCCATAGACCTGGCCGGCCTCATCCCCTCCCCATGGCCCTGCGGTGACAGCCACACACCACTTTTTTCAGTTGTTTCACAGTGCCATGCCTCCTCTCACCTCTGGGCTTCAGCATATACGGTTCCCTCTGCCAGGATCTCTTCCCCGCCCCCCTTCACCACCTCTCCCCGGGATCTCCTACTTATCCTTCAGAATGCAGTTCAAGCCCCATCTCCTCAGGGCTCCCACTGCACGCTGCACCCTTCCATCAGCTGCCCCACGCGGCTTCTGTCACTAGCCTGGGCGCCCTGTGGGGGCAGGGGTGCGGTCTAGCTGTTGTTGGCTTCCCCAGGGCCAAGCAGGATGCCGTGCCCAGGTCAGACAGAGGGGTGTGACTGCCCAGTGAATCTGCCCAGGACCCCGCCTGCAGCCCTCACCCTGCATGTAGATGACCAGCAGGGCATAGCAGATGACGAGCGGCGTCCAGAAACGCACTGCGTCCGACGTGCTCAGGAAGTCCCGGTTGATGAGAGCCACGGCTGCCAGGTCACCCACGGCGAAGGCCATGGCCAGGGCGCGGGCCAGCAGCCGGGGGAGGCCGTGCGCCCCGGCCAGCAGGCCCAGGCAGACCCCGCAGTAGCGCTGGCCGCTGTGCAGCTCGTAGAGGCGGTAGACGTGGCAGCGGAGGCGCCGGGCGCCCGTGCTGAGCAGCGTGGCCAGCCCCAGGCCCAGCAGCAGGTTCAGGGTGCGGTGCGGGGCGCCCTCTTGCAGGAAGCTCAGGCCGCAGGTCAGCCCGCAGCCCAGCGAGTACTGGCACAGCAGGTGCAGCCGCAGCGACTCGGAGCCCTGTGCGCCCTGAGCAGGGGGGAGGGGGGAGAAGGGAGGGCACAATGCCGGGGGCTCAGGCTGAGTGCGGGCGCAGCGGTCGTGAAGGTACAGAGGCTCCACTCTGTACTCCTACTCCGGCTGGAGCCGGAAGGAACCTTGGGGATTGTTCCCAAAGCAGGAATATTCCCTGGGGCGCCTGAGGGGCTCAGTTAAGCGGCTGACTCTTGATTTCGACTTGGGTCATGATCTCATGGTTTGTGAGATCGAGCCCCGTCTTGGGATCTGCACTGACAGCATGGAGTTGGCTTGGGATTCTCCCTCTCACTCTCTCTCTCTCTGTCTCACTCTCAAAATAAATAAATAAATAAACTTAAAAAAAAAAAAAAGAAGGGGTATTGCCGTCAAAGACAAGCTCTACTGGGATCATTTCTTTCTGCTTAATTTCAGTCACGATTGTTACTTGGGACCCAGGTGCTTGCTGAGGGTTTGTGGCTCAGAGCCTCGAAGTCCTGGGTTCAGAGCCTGACTCTACTTCTTGCTCGTTGTTGACCTGGGACAAGCCAATTACCCTCTCTGAGCCTTAGTTTTCCCATCTGTGAAGTGGGGATCACAGCAGAGCTCTACCACGCTACGGCTGCACGGACTCGCGAGGTGATGCACTCGGGGAGCCGGGAATCCAGGAGCCGCCGCCACCCTCTTCTTGGGGCTGCGGCTGCGTCTGCTACGAGCAGGGACTGCACTGGCCATCACAACCCCAGGGGGCCATCTGCACCCTCCAGCCTCAGTCTTACAGAGAGGGGGTGCTGAGGAGACAGGGTGCTCTGGGGTGAAAACTAGGGCCCAGGGCCAGGCAGTGACTCACCCATCACCTCCGGGAGCCTTACCTTGCCCGGGGACAGCAGTGTGGAGATGGCCCGGAGGGAGAACTCCAGCACCACCAGGGCGGCCACCCGGGTCCCCACGACGGTCAGGATCAGGGCCAGCCCTGCCAGGTGCAGGGTCTCCAGCGAGGCCCACTGGGCCTGCAGCCGGTGCTTTTCCAGCCGCCGCTCAGGGTCGCTGTGGGGCAGAGTGGACGTGGGCAGGGGCAGAAGCACCAGCCTCGGCCCGGGCGGTGGTCTCCGTGCCCCCAGACACACTGGCTGGGGATGGGGTTCCCTTCCCTCCGGGCCTGCGCTCAGAGGCCAGAGTCAGCTCAGGGCCCAGGAGTGGGCTAGGTGGGCCAGCACTCACTTGGCACAGTTCACAAAGAAGTAGACCTTCAGGAGGCTGTTCAGGACCGAGACTCCACTGGCCCCAATGAGGCCTGAGGGGCAGGAGGGAGGGCAGGCAGTTTGGCAGGGGTAGAGGTGGTGGGAGGCCCACGTGGGGGGGGGGGTCCACCCTGCAGCTGCCCAGAGCTGCCGGAGGGGGCGGGGCTGCGCGGGGCAGAGAGGTGGCGCTCACCTTGCAGGACAGAGTCTAGGAGGCTGAAGCCCCACTGGAGGGAGGGGAGGCCGGGGAGCCAGGAGGGCAGGAAAGGCAGGGAGAACATGGCCGCTGCCAGGATCGGTCCCCGCCTCCGGCCAGGTCTGCACCAGAGAGACCAACGTCACAGGGCAAAGGTGTCAGTGGAGGCGAGGGAGGGGCAGGGAGGGATCAGAAGCTCAGGGCAGGGGAGGGGAGGGGAGGCCGGGGCCTGACACCTTCAGGACCGTAGGGTTACGGGCCTTGGGAACCAACCCCTGCCCAGGGCCGCTGCATTTGGGCAGCATGAGACCAGCGCTGGTCTCTGTCCCCTGTCCCTGCTCAGGTCGGGCGCCCATTCTTCTCACCATACCCTAGGCCCCGCCCTACGGGGGCCTTCCTGAAGCCCAAGGCCTTATCTGTTGCCCCTTCCCAGCCCCCAGCCTTGCATCTGGGCTCTGCCCCCTCAGCCCGTTCCAGAAGGGGGTGTCTATGTCCCCACAGCCTGAGGCTCAGACCCTTCAGCCCCAGTTCCAGAAGGGGGTCTGCCCCCCCACAGCCTGAGGCTGAGATCCAGTGCTGGGCCCCCGGCTCCCTCCGCCACTGGGCAGCCTGCCTCGACCATCGACCATCCTCCCCACGTCCGCTAGGTGGCAGGCCTCCGCTGGCTTGGATGCAGCGGGGCGCGGCGCGTCTTCTGGATCCTCCTTTCCCAGACTGAGAGCGAGCCCAGGGTGGGGGTGTCGGGAGGGGCGGTTCAGGGGCGGGGGAGACCGAGGCTACAGCACAGGGAGTCGTTGAAGTAAACAAAATAGAAAACTTTATTGGTTTGGAGTGTGCGGTAGGCATGCCCCTGGGCAACGGCAGACGCGGGCTGCGGTGGGGCCGCTGGCTTAGGCTCCGCCTGACCTTCCAGGGACTCGCTGTCCATCTCTGTAGCCCAAAGGTCAGCACGGGCCTCAGGAACATACTCACTGCGGCTGCAGCCTGGGAAAGGGCCCAAGGTGAGGACACGTAGCTCTGCTACCCACGTTGAGCCGGTCACTCCCCCACCCCCGCCCCGGGCCTTAGCCTCCTCATCTGAAGAATGGGCATCTCAAGAGAGCCCTTTCAGAACGTCATGAGGGTTTGTCCAAACGCCCACAGACAGTGCTGGGCTCCTAGGAAGCCATCAGTAAAAGCTCCGGGTGTTAAGGCTACACTATGTCCCCCCCTCCGACTCATATACTGAAGTTCTAACCCCCCCACATGTGACTGTACTTGGAGACGGGCTCTCGAAAGAGGCAATTCAGTTAAAATGAGGACATTAGGGGCGGTGCTAATCCAACATGACTGGGGGCCTTATAAGAAGAGATTAGGACACAGACACAGAAGGAATGAGATCACGGGGAGAAGATGGCCGTCCGTGCATATGCCAGAGAGAGAGAGGGAGAGAGAGAGAGAGAGAGAGGCCTCAGAAGGAACCAAGCCCACTGATGCCTTGATCTCTGACTTCCAGCCTCCACGCGGTGAAATAGCGTCTGTGGTTCATCTCGTCGGAGGTGCGCCACGGCCTCGCGGTGCCTCATGGTGACTCCCGGGGACACTCCAGCCCTCGGGGTCCTGGCTCTTGCCAGGGGCACCAGCCTGGGCCGGGCAGAGGGGACTTCCGGTCCTCGTTCGGTCCCTTCAGAGCTGCGTGGCTTTGGCCGAAGCACTTCACTGTTCTGAGTTCTCAGCTTCCTCTTGGTAAAAGAGGGTTTTACTGTCTCGCACGAGGACGAAGCAGGCTGACGCAGGTGAGTGACCAGCTCACGGTGACGGCCGTTTCCCGGAGCAGCGATTGTCATACCAGGTAAGGTAAAGCCAGTACAGGGAGGGAAGAGAATCTGCTGGGGAACAGAGTGGCTGGCCATCCAGAACAGGTGCTCTGGCCCTGGGGGGGGGGAGGGCGGGCGTGGGTCTGGGGGTGCCCAGCGCTGTCCACACTCTCCTCAGACCTGTGGCAGAGTCCGGGCCTGTGGCCTGCCCTGAGTCGTCCACTCCTAGCTGGCGAGGGCCATTGCTTCCTGCGAAGTGCCGGGCTGTGGGGCTGTGTCGGGATGGGATGTGGGGGTGAGGGGACCCCCTAGGTGCCCTGGTGCAGGCCCCGCCCAACCAGTTTCCGGAGCTCATCCCAGAAGAGCATGCTGAGGATGGTGTGGGGGCCCAGGCGCAGGTAGGCGGGGCCCAGACCCTTGTAGAGTGCCAGGGGGCCCTCCTGCCGCCAGATCTTCACCAGGCAGTCAGCGAGGCCACCATACAGCCGGCCCTGGGGACAGACACAGGGCAGATATCACTACAGGGGTCGTGGAGTCCTGGCTGGCACAACCAGGGGTGTCTGTGTGTAGGGGCTACTATGGCACATCAGTAGAGAGACCCTCCCCAAGTGAGGGCAGCTTATAGCAAGGTGGCCCTGTCACCTGTGAAATTTAAGAAGTCTCTTCCTCCAGGCAGCCCTAGCCCTGGATCAGGTGGATTCCAGCCCTCCCTCAGTCTGTGGAGGGCATCTGTGTGTTGAGCCTGACCTGCACCAGGGGTACGTGATGGCCCGTGCATGTATGTGGGGCCGTGGGGTCAGGCCTGGATTCTTTTAAATCTTTTTTTTTTTTTTAATGTTTTATTTCTGAGAGAGAGAGAGACAGTGTGAGCAGGGGAGGGTCAGAGTGAGAGGGAGACACAATCTGAAGGAGGCTCCAGGCTCTGAGCTAGCTGTCAGCACAGAGACTGATGAGGGGCTCGAACCCACGAACTGTGAGATCATGACCTGAGCCAAAGTCAGACACTTAACCAACTGAGCCACCCAGGCGCCCCTAGGCCTGGATTCTAATTCAGGCTCTGCCACTTCTCAGCCAGGTGACTGCAGGCAAGTCACCAGATCTTGCTGAGTATCCATTTCCACATCAGGAAAAGGAAGGTGATTTTGGGGACAGAATAAAATCCAGATGTGAAGAAGCTTAGTCTATGCCTGGGACACAGGTGCTCAGCCAACGAGGCTCAATGTGTTTGTGTGCATGTCACATGTCTGCATGTCTCTGGCTCTGTGTGTATGTGTTAGAGGGTGCTCTCTAGCTCCCCACATCCCCTCCACTCCCCTGCACTGGGCCCTGCTCACTTTGCCAGTTCCGTCCACGGGCTGATTGTATAGCCGCGTGCTGACCACGTCGAAGGGGGTCATGACGGCAGCCACGGCGACGCTGCTGACCATGCCTCCAGCCAAAGCTACCAGCCAGCTGTCCTCCGGGAGCCACTGTGGGGATGGCACAGGCTCTGATGCCTGCAGGTGCCCTCCCCTAACCCACATGATGCCCACCCTCCCCTCCCAGCATGTGGGGGCCGGGGGAGCTAGGGGAAGGGGAGCAGACCAGGCCCCTCCAGCCACCCCCCACCCCAGCTCCTTCACAGCTACAGGGTCACTGCTGGCCCCCACTCCTGCTGGGCACAAAGGCCGGGGACATGACCTTAAGGGCAGAGCCAAGGTCCTCAGCTCTCTTCAGGGGCCGTCTGTCACCTCTCCCTTGGCTTCCCTAGGTGGGGGTCTGGCTGGAGACGTTAGGGTGTGATGAGGGCGCAGACAGGGAGAAGGGAGGCAGATGGCCCTTACTTCAGGGTGTCTGGGGGTGGGCACAGGTGTCCCTCGCTCCTCACCTGTTGCTTCTGCACCCAGGCCTTGGCAGAGGCAAAGGTGGCCAGCTGGGCGGCTGAGCCGACCATGACCCTGGGCACGGCCCCACCCACACCCCGCCATAGTCCTGCCAGGCCTTGCTGTCGCCAGATGGTCTCCAAGGCCCCCAGAACACTCTGCGGGGAGAAGACAGCGGGTCACTGGGCAGCCCCTGCCGGCCCGGGAGCCCATCCGGCCCAGGGAGCTCTGGGGAGTGACGGCTCCTACCTGGTGATGGTGCTGGTGCCCCACGGCCATCGCTGCCACCGTCTGGGCCTGCAGCTGTGTTTTGACCTGTGAGAGCAGACGTGAGACAGGGCCCGGAGGAGCACGCCCTGACACCCAGAGCTCCGTGGGCTCACCCCGCAGCTTAGGGGGCGTGGAATAGGGCTCGGAGTGAGGCTCTGAAGTCGGGTCTGCATCTTGGTGTGACCGGGGGCAAGTTACTTAATCCTCTCCAGGCCCCTCCGCTCCTGCCTGACAAGCTGACAAACTGAGGACTAAGTGGGTTGATGACAGTCCGACATCCAGCCAAGGACACGGGGTCTCACTTATTCCTAACTCTCACAGGCCCCACAGGAAGACCAGGGACCCCACTGGGGTGCAGCGAGCACGCGTCCTGCCGCCCCCTCCCCTGGCTCAGGCCAAGGGCTTTGAGCCAAGGGGCAGATTCCAATCCTGGGCAGGGATGCTCCCCGCCCAGCCGGCCCCACCCCTCTAGTCCTGCCCGGTCCCAGAGGGCCAGCCTGGGCAGCTCCAGAGGCCCGGGGTGCGGGTGGCGGGGGGAGCTGGGTCATGGGGTGGTGGAGGATGGCCGCACGGCACTCACCAAGTAAGCAGGGCTCCCCACGAAGGCTCCCAGTGCCCCAGCCACGGCGCCTGCGACCACGGTGCCACCAGGCTGCTGGGTGAGGCCGGCCTGGCATGCCAGGCTGTAGCAATAGAAGCGGACACCGTTCATGAGGCCCTGGTAGAGGAGGCCGGCCGCCAGCCCCTTCTGCAGGCCACACAGCCCATCTGCACGGATCACGGCGGCCACCGAGGCCAAAAAGCCCCTGTAGGGCCGTGGGTAGGTGCCCCGGGCCTGCAGCTCCCCCTGCAGCTGCAGCCGCGTCTTCACCACCTCTAGGGGGTTCGTGAAGACACAGGCCAGGCAACAGGCCGACGCGCCGAGCACCAGGTCCACGGCCGGGGCAACGGCCTCCGTGGCCTCCGTTCCTGAGGCCCGCGGCGTCCCGGGCAGGGTCATGGGCCCAGGAACTAGGGTGGCGGCGCCTAGGCTGTCTGCAGCCCCGCAGGGCCGCAGAGCTGGGGACCGAGGGGGCCTGCAGCCATGTCTGGAGGGCAGACGGCCGGTCGGACCCGCAGGGTGGCCCCTGGTCTATCTCGGGAGTCCACCTGCTCTGCTCCGCCCCTGGGGCTGCCCGAGCCCGGGACACGCCCCTGCTGGCTCGGGCCAATCCCAGCTGCCTCTGCTCTCCACACCTCCCCGCGGGGGTGGGCCTGGACCCTGGGATCTGGGGAAAAGGTCACCGGGGGCAGGAGGGAGATTGGGGGCGGGGAGAAGGTGTCAATCAGCTGAGACACCTCCACCTGCTTTTCTTACCCTCCTGCCTTCCCCTGGGCGCTGGGGCAAAGGGCTGGTGCCCCTGCCCCGCCTCTGGCTTAGCCAGTCCTGCTGCAGCTCAGAGCCCTGGGCAGGGAGCAACTGCCCCGGGAGGCTCCTGAAACCGCGCCCGGGCAGCTACCCTGCCACAGTCTCTGTGGTTTCTCCGTTCCCGGCCTCAGTCTTCCAATCTGGCTTCCACAGTTTATGGTCCCACTGAGAGCAGAGGTAGCGAAGGGCTTCTCGAGTTCCCTGTGGAACTGATTTTGAATCCCAGGCCCTGCTATCATGTGTGACCTTGGGCAAGTCATTTCCTCTCTCTCAGCGTCAGTCGATTTGTAAAATGGGGATATCAACACCTACCTCAGACGTGTTTTGGCGGGTTAAGAGGTGTGTGTAGAAGCTAGCACGTGGCTTATCCCAGAAGATGCCCACTTCCCTCCCCCGCCTCTGCTTCTGGCTCCTTTCTCCCAGACCTTTGCCTCCCAAGGCTCCAGGGCCCTTGGGCCATTGTGTCTCAAGGAGTGGCCTGTGGCTTTGGTCACTCACTCTATGAAGACTTGCCCCCCAGTCCTGTCCCTCTTCCTGGTTGGAGCCTCTTCTGGGCTATAGGTTTCTGGAGAGACCCTGGCATAGAAATGGCCCTTCGTCTTGGTTTTTGTTTTTGTTTTTTTTCAGAGAGAGAGAATGAATTTCAGGCAGGCTCCAAGTCTAGCTCAGAGCCCGACGCCGGGCTCCATCTCACTACTGTGAGATCGTGACCTGAGCTGAAATCAAGAGTTGGCCACTTAATTGACTGAGCCGCCCAGGTGCGCTGTACATGGCCCTCTGTGAGAAGGGAGCTCACACCCCTGGGAATGGCTGTCAGGTGCTAGGCTGCTCAGACTGGGATCCGGCACCACCCTGTCCACCCTGGCCTCTACCCTACCCCCGCCTCCCCCCCGGCCCCAGGCAGCTCTCTCCCGCCATGGACACCCCATGTCGCCCAAGTTCCAAACAGAACCAGAGGCAGAGCCACCCTGCGTGCAAGCCCACCTCTACGGCCTCCACACCCACTGTTCCCAGCACCCACTCCTCTGCGCTCATGTGTGAGGACCCAGAAGTGGCAGCACTGAGGGCCTGAGAGCCCCAGATCACTGCCCTCTAACCCCGGCCTGAGCCTGGCAGGCATGGCACCCTCGGGCCTGCGCCCAGCAGTCCGGGGACAGCTTGGACTCGCTTGGGTTTATCCCACGTGGCCGGCCCTCGCCCCCAGAGCTGGGGAGGCTGGGAAGGCTGGCTGTAGAGACAAGCTCCCGGCCAGGAGCAGTGGCCGCGGCTCCCCTGGCCACTGTAGGAAATAGAAGGGAGAGCAAAGGTCAGGCCAAGAAACCCTCAGGGCCTGAGCTCCAGAGAGTTCCACGGGAGCAGTGGGTGATCATGTTCCCAGTGTCAGCACAGAGCAGCTGAGGTCAGAGAACTGGGGAATGAATGAAGAATGAATGGCCAAGGGGCTTTGGGGGGGGGGGGGCGGAGATCTCCCTCCCATCCTGGTCATAAAGGGCCAGTGACAAGTCTTGGCAATATAACGTGTCTATTTTATTTAAAAAAACAAACAAACAAAACCCAGACCATCTGACCCCTTCCCCCAGCAGGCCCCTGACAGAACTCTCCGGAAGGGCCTGGCTCCAGCCAAGCAGGGGATAGTCAGCAGGCACCCACGGGGACGGCAGGCTGGTGGGCTCTGTTCCTCCCTGAGCCCTCCTCCCTCCCCTTTGCTCCCTGCAAACAGAGAAAGCTTGCTTCCTGGGGCCTCCTGGGGCCTCAGGCCACTGCGGTTCAGGGAGAGGCAGAGGCAGGGGGCCGTGGGGACATGCAGGGCCACTGGGCAGCCAGGGAGGGCCAACCCGGCCCCCGGCCCCTGCCCCCCACCGTGGGCCCTGGCAAGGCAGGCAGCAGTGAGCCGGGGCCGGGGTTAGTGTGGAGGAAACATGCACCGAGACCTTAGTGCCCGGCCTCCCTGTGCGGCCGGCTCAACGTTCAAAAATGAACAAGGCTGCCCGGGTCTCCGCCCTGCCCCCTCCCCCAGGAGAGGAAGAGGGGGCTGCTGCCTTCTCAGTGCTGCCGCTCCCCTCCGAGCTGATCCTATTCTCCCTGTCATCCTGAAGAGATGCAGTTACATCGGGGTGTGCCGCATACACAGAGCCCATAGGGCTCAGACCCTCTGCCCCAGCCCTCTCTGGGCACCACTGGCTGGGCAAGGTGCCCAAGGGGGTGCGGGGCACCCACTCTGGACCCCTGGGAAGGGGAGAGACCCTGTCTCAAGCCCCGGTCGGCGGTTCTGTCCCCCACGGCAGGAGGGGGCTGTGGAACAGGGGTGGAAGCCGGGCCGAGCAGCATGACGACCCAGTGCGCGTGCCCCACCGCTCGCCTTTTCTGGCCCACCAGGGGGCTGGCCAGCCCGGCCTCAGCACCAGGGGTCCCGGGAGGCTCTGCCCCGGCACAAGCTGTCGCTCCTCTGCCAGGCGCTGTGGATGAGGCTTAGGGCATCCTCGAACTTCTTGCTGGAGGCGTCCTGGGTGGCCTTGTGGGGGAGGTCCACCTGTGTGGGGGTGAGGAGGGGGCCTGTGAGGGCTGCGGCCCAGGGCCCCACTCTCCCTCCGCGCTAGGGGACCAAGAACGGGCAACGTGTCCCAGGCTCTGCTCGGCCGCGCTGGGGAGCAGAGCCTTGCCCTTTTGGTCCTGAATGTGACCCCCAGGCCCCTGGCTCCCACCTCTGTGCTACGGGGCCCCGGGCAGCTCGGCACCTGGTAGATGGTTTTCCACCCGGAGCTCAGTGCAGACAGGAATCGGTCCAGTTCAGATGTGCAGCTTAAGTAGATGACCCAGGGGGGCAGGGCCTGCTGGCTGTCCTGGGAAAACTCCTGGGGAGAGCGGGTCCCCGGTGAGCAGACGCAGCGCTCCTTCCTCGGGGCCTGCCTCCACCCCACCCCCCCCACCACCCCGCCCAGCTCACCAGGACACAGTACTCCTTGCCGGGTTTGGTGGAGACGGCGCTGATGTCGGCCAGCCGGGCCGTGCCCAGGGAGCGGAAGAAGCTGGTCTGGCAGTCCTCGTGGCACGTGAAGAGGCGGTCATCAGTAATCACTAGGCAGCAGGGGATGCAGGGGCTGGGGGTTACCCCCTGTGGGATGACCTGAAGGGCATGGGCAGAGGGGAGGGGAGAGACAAGCTGGAGCTTTCCGGGGGTGGTGGCACCAGAACTCGCCCCTCCAGGGGCCCAGCCAGCCCTTCAGCTCCCCGCTCCAGAGGTCAGAGGTGGGACCAGGGGTGACCGTGGGAGTGTCAGCCCATAGGTGGCCCGGAGCCCTAGGGTCCACCCCTGGGGTGTCTCCTGGAGGTCCCCGTCTCGGTCCTCACAGGCTGCTCTGTGAGTGCGTGTGGGTCTGCGGAAGGGACCCGGGGGTGCTGGATGGGGTCTCACCCCTTTGGACACAGCCTGGCAGAGATGCTGCATCCAGTCGGCCATCTCGGCCTCGCTGTCAGCGCTCAATTCCAGGCAGGGCCGGTCGGCGAGAATGACCTGGAAGGCGTGGGGCCGGTCCGTGGTGTTGGCTCTCCGACAGCCACCGCACTGCTCCCCCCTGGGCCAGAGGAGGAGGGGTGAAAGGGGGGCAAGGAGGCAGGGGGGGCTCAGGGCGTGCGGACATGGGTCCCAGGGGCCGGAGGACGCCGGAAGGTGGTGCGGACCCCTTTGGCTCCTGGGAGAGACTTAAAGCTTCCAGGCAGGCCCGGCTCTTTCTGTGTTAACAACTTCTCTCTCCAGAATTGCCAAGATCCTTCCAGATAGCTAAGCCTGGCCAGGCAAGGGGTGAGGATCCGCTCTTAGCTCTGTCCCTCTTGGCACCAGGGCACATTCATTCCCACAGCCTCTCCGGGTCCAGGTTTCCTCCAAGCACCTGTGTGTCCATCTTCCATCAAGTCAGGAGCCTCCCGGGGGAGGGACGGCCACCCCCTGCAAGGAGTTCCTCCTGCTTCCTGATTGGACGCTGCCCCGCCTCCCCTTGCTTGGGGTCCTGTAGCCTCAGGGCTCAGTAGCCCCCCGGGCAGCGGTCAGGGGAAGGGGTGGGGCTGAGTGGGGGCAGGCCGAATGGACGGACACGAGGCGGGTCAGCTCAAGCCATGGAGAACAGGAGTCCTGGGTCCCAGGCTCAGACAGGGCCGCCACCTCCGGGCAGCGCCGTGGGGCCTCCCACCTGGCCAGCCCCCACCGTGGGGGGCACTCACCCCATGTTCACGGAGAGCAGAGGGGTGACATCAGTGCGGTCAGGATACTGGTAGAGGATCCCGTTGCTGCAGGGGCACAACAGGGCAGGGGTGAGGCGTGTCCTAAGGACTGAAGGCCAGGTGGGGCCCAGATCCCAGGGGGGCCTGCAAGCTGGGGCCTTAAGCCCCAGAGGCCAAGGGGCCTGCCCTCCGTGGGAGGGAAGGTAGAGAAGGAACTGCAGAGGCATAGGAGGGTGTGCTGTCCCCTCAGCAGGCCTGGGGACCGTGAGAGCCTTGGCAGCAGCCTGCACGTGACATGCCCCAGGATCCTGGGGCCCCAGAGATGGCCGGCTGTACACGGAAGCTCTCGTAGCCGGAGGGGAGTGTGCTCCCAAACCCTTGTGGGGGTGCAAGGAGGCCTCCGGGGGCTTCTCTGCCCGGTGGCCTGCCCTGCGGAGACCCCTGCTGAGGCCCG